CTGTGCAGGCTGGTCCCTATCAGGAAGTTGAGGACTTCTGATACAAAGCATCTTGAAATGTATTTTATTCTTTCTTGCAAGAAAGAATAAATGAGATGGCTGGGCTTGGTGCCCTCAGCCTGTAATCCCGGCACTTTGGGAGGATGAGGTGAGTGAATTGCCTGAGCCCGCGGGTTTGAGACCAGCTTGGGCAACTTGGTGAGACCTCATCTCTACAATAAATTAAAAATTAGCCGGGCATGGCAGCACGTTCCTGTAGTTCCGGCTACTTGGACGGCTGAGGCAGAAGGATTGCTGGAGCCCAGCAGGTCAATGCTGGGGTAGCTGTGAGCATGCTACTGCACTCTAGCCTGGGCAACAGGCTATTTTTTTCCTCCAACTCAAAGGAAATAAATAAATAAATGAGATTGGAAAGGGAAGTAAGGGCTAGATATTTTTAGATTGAGAGAGTTTTGCCCAAAGTCAAAAGCTAGCAAGAAGGCAATCTATGAAACAGAATAAACTATTTGCAAACTATGTATCTGATAAGGGGTTAGTTTCCAAAATGTATTTTTTAAAACTCTCATAAACTGATAACAAAAAACTAATAATACAATTAGAAATGGGCTAACGACTTAAATAGACATTTCTCTAAAGAATATATACACGTGGCTGATAGGTATATAAAAAGATACTCAGTGCCACTAAGCATCGAGATAATGCAAATCAAAACCACAATGAAATAACACCTTATACCTGTTAGGATGGTTATTATAAAAACAAAAAATACAAGTGTTGCAAGACGAAAACTGGAATTTTTGTACATTGTTGATGGGTCTGCAAAATGTTGTAGCCTCTATGGAAAATAATATGAAGATTCCTCAGGAAATTAAATATATAATTACAGATGCTCCTTGTCTTTTGCTGGGGTTACATCCTGTTAAATCCACCAAAATTGGAAAATATTGTAAGTCAAACACACATTAATACACATAACCTACTGGATATCATATCTTGGTCTAGTACACCTTAAATGTGTTCAGAACACTTACATTAGCCTTCAGTTGGGCAAAACCACCCATAATAATGTATTGACTATCTTATATATTTCACTGAATACTACACCTAGAGTAAAAAGCAAAATGGTTATAAGGGTACTCCAACTATTGTTTCTACTGAATGTGTATCACTTTCACCCCATTGTAACATAAAAAAAAAAGTGAGTGAAACCATCATAAGCTGGGAGTTTTCTGTTCATTATACAGCAATCTTACTTCTGGGCTTTATCCAAAGGAATTGAAATCAGGATCCTGAAGAGATATTAGCATCCCTGTTTTCATTGCAGCACTATCCACAGATGTGGAAACAAATGTCCATCGGTGAATGAATGGATAAAGAAAATGTGAGATATACATACAGTGGAATATTATTCAGCCTTAAAAAAGTAAGAAATTCTACAATATGAGGCAACATAGAAGAACTTTGAGGGCATTATACTAAATGAAATAAGTCAGTCACAGAAGAACAAATACAGCATAATTCCACTTATATGAGATATTTAAAATAGTCAAATTCATAGAACCAGAGAGTGGAATGGTGGTTGTCAGGAGATCAGAGGGAGGGGAAACCGGGAATTTGCTAATCACTAGGCATAAAGTTTCAGTTATGCAAAGATGAGTAGTAAGTTTCTGAGATCTGTTGTATAATGTGTGCCTATAGTTAGCAATACTGTATTGTATTCTTAAAACTTTAAGAGAGTAGGGTTCATTTTAAGTGTTCTTTCCACAATAAAATAAAATTTCAAAAAATTTAAAAAGTAAAAAAGTAGCCGGGCTCGGTGGCTCAGCCTGTAATCCCGCACCTTTGGGAGGCTAAGGTGAGTGGATTGCCTGAGCCCACGGGTTTGAGACCCGCCTGGGCAGCGAGACCTCATCTCTACAATAAATAAAAAACTAGCCAGGTTTGATAACACACGCCTGTAATTCCGGCTACTTGGAAGGCTGAGGCGGAAGGATCGCTGGAGCCCAGCAGGTCAATCTGTACTCTAGTCTGGGCGACAGAGTGTGACTCCAACTAAAAAAAAAAAAAAAAAAGTAAAAGCCAGCAAAGGACAGCACCAAGATTTCACCCCAATCTTTGATTCCAAATCCTGTGGTCATAGAATTGATTGGAAGGGGAAACAGGCAAGGAGTGCAGTGGCATGATCATGGCTCCACAACCTCAACCTCCTGGGCTCAGGTGATCCTTCCACCTCAGCTTCCCAAGTAGCTGGGACTACAGGAGCATGCCACCATGGCTGAATAATTTTTACATTTTCTGTAGAGACAAGGTCTCACTATGTTGTCCAGGCTAGTCTCGAACTCTTAGTTTCAAGCGATCCTCTCGCTTCAGCCTCCCAAAGTGCTGAGATTACAGGCATGAGCCACCATACCCGTCCTAAATCCTACTGATTTTACTATTTAAGATCTCTCTCATTTGTTCCCTCCTCTCCATCTCCAATGCTACTGCATTCGTTCAGAGTTTTCCTATTGATTTCCTGGACCACTATAATTAGTTTCTTTAAGCTCCCTTTCTAGTTAAGAATCTTGCCTTTGTCAAACACCTCTATCTTGTCAACACGTTTTTTCCAAACTGCAAGTCTGAATATATTATTTTTCTACTTTAACCCTTTGGTGTTCTCAGTTTCCCTGATGGAGTTCACAGGTCCTTCCATAGTCTGTCTTTGCCCATCTGACCGATGTCATTTGTCACTGCTTCCACTCACTGTTTTCCAGACTGCTGAATTATTAAAGTTTTCTGAATGTGTCAGCAAGGATATGTAGTGTTTAAAAGTGTGGGCTCTGAATTAGACAGGTTTGACTTCGACCCCTGGACTTCCCATTTCCTCGTTGTGCAATCCAAAGCACACTTATCACTGTGCCTCGTGTACCTCACCTGTATCATGGGAATCATTTCACAGAATTGCTTTCTCTGTGTGTAAGAAGTGAGGAAAAGTGAAGAACTATAAAGTGAGTGCTTGGGGGAACACGAGATGATGGTGTTGTGCAGCTTTACACATTTTCATGTCCTTTGAACCCATTCCCAAGAACACTTCCCCCTTCCTTCTTGATAATCTGGAAAATTCCTTCCATTATGTGGTGGCCCAGCTCCCCTTTCCCTTCTGCCAGTTAGAATTAAACCTCTGGAAAGGGACTGAAAGTAGCAGGAAACTGTGGGGAGGGGAGTGGGGGGGTGGGTAGCGGGGATTGACAGGAGTCGATATCTGCCCGGGGAAGGGCGGGCACACCTCATCCATAAGGGTATCCGCACAATGAACATTTGTATACCTAACCCTAAATTGTACCCCACAATTTCAAAATAAAAATTAAAAGAGAAAAAAAAAAGAATCAAACCTCTCGAATCTCATAGCACCTCTGGCCCATGTACACATTTTGGTCACTGTGGCCATGGCTATATGTCTATTTCCCTACAAAGTTTAAAAGATGGAAAGTTTAAAAGATGGAAACCAGACCTCTCTTGTTTGGCTCCCGCATCCTATAGCATTATCTGGTTCAGTGAAAATCTCAATAATTTGAGGTTTGGAAAATTGAACAAAGTGTATAGGGTTGAATGGAATGAAAAGAGTCTCTCCACTTTCTCTTTCTATGGGTCTATATTTTCCAAGCAACTTTTCTGAAAGAAAAGATGACTTATCCAAAAATGTAACGGTGTGATCAGTGCACAGTTTAAAAATGATATTTGAGCCGGGCTTGGTGGCACAGCCTGTAATCCCGTGCCTTTGGGAGGCTGAGGTGAGTGGATTGCCTGAGCCCACGGGTTTGAGATCCGCCTGGGCAGCGAAACCTCATCTCTACAATAAATCAAAAATTCAGCTGGGTGTGATAGTGCATGCCTATAATTCTGGCTACTTGGAAGGCTGAGGCGGAAGGATCGCTGGAGCCCAGCAGGTCAAGGCTGCGGTGGCCGGGAGCGGCCACTGCACTCCAGTCTGGGCGACAGAGTGAGACTCCAACTCAAAAAAAAAAAAAATGATATTTGTTAATTTTTGGTTCCTCAAGTGGACTTTGGACTTTGCCCCTGGAGGAAATAGTAAAATGACTGGCAAGGGCAATATGCAAACCACTGGGCTAGGTTTCCCTTTGCAAATTAAATAATGAATACTTTGGTTTATCAATCCATTCCTTGTCGGTTTGGTTTTCATGAATCATTTCATAATAACAATGGATCACTCCCACCAGCTCTTTTCTATACTCACAGGGAAAAAAATTAAATACAAAAATGAATAGAAAAGAGGCAAACAGAAGCCCAAGAAAAGAAAATGAGCGGACTTCACATGCGCAACAAGAAGGAACCACAAAAATGGACAATCTAAAAAGGTTTATTTTATAAAACAAAACATAAAATACACCTCTCAGCATGATCTTCAAAGTCTAACTTTTGCATTTAGCATTGCGTTTTAGCACATACATCTAATAAAGTCTGACTGCTTTAATCATATCTATTTTAATTTATGTGTCACTAAAGAATATTTAGGAGGAAATATAACTGATATTAAATATTAATTTATTCAAATATAAATAAATAAAATAAATATAAATTGTTCAGCTCCTCTCCCTTATTATTTAGTTTCGCTCTTTTGTTAAAGTAATGTCAGATTGTATCTGATGACAGTAAGTTTTCCTTTTTTTCAACATAGTGAAAACTTGTATAATCATGAAATTTGAAAACGGCTAAATCCTTTGCTATTTATTTTAATTCAAATCCAGCATATTATTATATATATTCGGAACTCAAACTATTCATCTTCATCTAAACCTTCAATTAGAATCCACAATGCAAACCTCTTGGCACTAGAACCACGTTTCATGTTTATTCAACTGAGCCTGCGTCTTGAAAAAGTGTTGAAGTTTGGGGGTTTTCTGGTGAGAATCCACGTTCTGACATCACCTTGGCCCTGACAGCGATTGGCTGTTGGAAGGCAAAGGAGAGTTTATAGCCAGCAAGAGCAAGTGAATGAGTGAGTGAGAGAGCAGAGGAAATACTCAATCTGTGCCACTCACTGCCTGAGCTGCCTCCTCACTCCAGCACGACAGAGGGTAAGACTGAACAGGACGACCTCATTACCTTAAAATCAGACACTGTACGTTTCACATCTCTGAACTCAGCTCTGAATTTTCCATGTAAATGTGGATGTTATTGCAATGTGTAGCATGGGTATGTGATTTAACACTGGCTTTTCATTAAGCTAGTACCTCAGATTTAGATTCTCTCCATATGCTAAACTTGTTAACCTATAAATAAGTTCTTCATATCATGCACACAAACTAGAAGATTATACTTCTTATTTTCTGTCTCTGTACACCATAAGCAACTGTTTGTTTTCTCATTCAAGATAACCTGACTGACATGTTATTTCGTATTTGCAAATCTTCCTAGAATATACAGATTTCTTCATAAATTATACCTAGTTCGTACTTAGTATATCTTTTCAATATACCAGGATATCAATATGTCAGGTTTTGAAATGTGAATATCCTATAGCTCTAAAATCAGTACAGAAAATATGCAGTACTAGAAAAATGCATACTTTTGGTAGTTTATCATGGCGATTTAATTACTACAATAAAAACTTGTAATTAAATTCTCAAAACTATCCTTTAAGAATGTTTGAATTGTTGTCTGGGTCAGTCGTGGTCACTATAGAGGTCTTGACTTTTTGGTGACTCACAAAGTAAATAAAATAAGATTTATGTAGGCAGCCAATTTTTACCTACATGAATCACTTAGCTTTATTATTATTATTATTATTATTCCTGCCATGTTTCGTCTAGTTATTTTTACTGTTTGTTATAAGAAGTTTATGTAATCAAAACTCTTTCTAAAGGTCTATGTATTTAAATTTTTAGTTCTTCAAAATATTGTAAGTATTCCAACCTCTTTCATAAAGCTGCAAAGCAATTATCATCCTGTTTGTGTATGGGCTTGATCATGCATGGAAAGGTTCAAAGCATTATTCACAGCAGTGAATGCTTCTTAAAAAAGTGGGCCCCCTCCAGGGGCAAAATGTCTTTATTCCCATGTGGCCATTAAGAAATTTTCCTAAGATAGAGAGGATTGTAAGGAATTGTGTAGGCATCAAAATCAAAAGACTCACTCTGTCACACAAATGCAGTGTAACTTTGGGTCAAGACAGGCCTCAAGCCTTACTCTGTGTGATGCCTTTTTTAGTGTCAGATACTCAGTAAAGATGCAATAAATCTTGGGTAATGATGACATAATACATAGTTTGCCTGCAAGATATAATATATGACATAGGTTTTATATATTTGAAATATGTCTTTTCAAAGTGTGTTTATGGGGGAATTGCCACCGCCATCATATATTATTTCCAAAGCTGTGACTGTGTATGAGAAAATGCTAACAGTTAAACATGTACGTAAATGCAGTGGGGTGAATGTTAGCAGGCTTTCAGCTAAGTTGTTCAATCTCTATTGTGTTAGAATTTTTAAATAGAAGGAAAATCAAAATAGGATAGGTTGTCACTGTCTCCTTTTACTGATGAGGAATCTATGTGGAACGATAGCTCTTTGCAATGGTCACAAACCCCAAAACTGTTCAGGAACAACTCTCACTTTGAGAGTTGCATCTTTAGTGGTTCTGTAGAATTGAAGTCTCCACCTATGCCTGTCACTCCGATCCTGGAGAACCCGTGATCCGTCCCAGTATAGTCTCACACACTAGCAGATAGAAAGTTTAAATGGAGTTGGGAAATAACTTAATTTGAGGAAATTTGTACCCTGATATTCCAAGATGAAAGTTTGAGGAACTCTTATGAAGTTATCCTTAGGGGCATCACTGTTGGGAGTTACATGCTATAAGAATGGAATTCCAGACATCATGGATCCTTTCTTTCCCTCCCTCTCTCTCTCTGCGTGTGTGTGTGCGCACGCGCGCGCACACACACACACACACACACACACACACACACACACACACACACACACACACACTCGTAGGAAAATGACTCTTATTTTTCATTTTACACATAAGTTTTTAATGCAAAACCTGTAGATAATCTGGAAACTGATTGTAGGTCATTGGCATAAAAGCAATCATTTAAATGTATTTGATATTTGCTTAGTTTTAAACTATAAACAGAGTATATAACTATACCAACAATTCAATTCACTTCACTGACTCTCCTGTGTCAATGATATAAAGAGGCCTCCTCACTCCTATGTGAAAGACTCAAAGTATCCAAAGTCCTTTGCTATGACGAAATGTTCTTCCAATGACAAATCACAGCAAATAGGTTAAAACCAAATATGAAACTTAAGATTATTCAAACAGATGGGTGAAGTCAGTCTTACACTACTTAAATGGAAGGGATAATTTGAAGACAGACAGGAATTTGGTTTTAATTAGTCAAAATGATAATTAGTTCGAAATGAAAACAAATGAAATACTTCATCTTTGAGGATAAGCAAATAAATTATGCTCTTAGTTTTAATACTTATTAACCTTACCACTTCATTAATTACAGGAGCAATTACCAAAATGAAGACTGCTTTAATTTTGCTCAGCATTTTGGGAATAGCCTGTGCTTTCTCAGTAAGTTCTACATGAAAAACCTACAACTATTTTCATTTGTACCTTTTTCTGTAGAAGGATATGTAATAATCCAGTGTTCTTTTAAACAGATGAAAAATTTGCATCGAAGAGTCAAGATAGAGGATTCTGAAGAAAATGGGGTAATTAATTTTAGCCTACCTCCTTAGCCTGATTATACTTACTCTAGATGTATTGCATATTAAATATGAATGTATCATTTATTTTGTCGATGCAGGTCTTTAAGTACAGGCCACGGTATTATCTTTACAAGCATGCCTACTTTTATCCTCCTCTAAAGCGATTCCCAGTGCAGGTAAGTATAATAATTAATTTTCCTTCTGTTTAATTTCCATTATAATTTAAAGGGGTTCAAATTTAACTACAAAACGACTAAATTCACCCTCACCGAAATTCAACTAGAAAACTGTCTTTAAAAGCTTGTTTTTAATATAATAAAATAAATTTTATTTATAAGTTCTCTTTGAGAACAGAGAAAGGCACAGAGTAAAATCATTTGGGCCCAGTCTAGAATGATATAATAAAAACAAACACCTTGGCACACTGAGTTTAGATGTTTTAGCTAACTCATTGACAAAAGTGGACAGTTTTATCAGTTGTTGACAATAAAGAGTGAAAAGTTCACTAATTGTCATGTTATGGTTGATTCAGTATTGTCATCAGTTGTTTTACATTTGAATCCTCTGATTGGTAGAGAAAATAAATTGACTTCAGAAGCTATTATAATCTCTGATTGGTAGAGAAAATAAATTGACTTCAGAGGCCATTATAATCAATGGGAGTTGCTGAAGATTTTTGAACCTTTAACCTGTGTGGGTCACTAGATCAGTACATCATGCACTGGAGCATAATTATAATGAAAGTGTGTCCCAAGAACTGCAAAGGAAAGAGAGAAATTCATGAAGTGTACAAAAAAACTTGTGACAAAAACAAACCATCCCTAAAATTTGTAAACAAAAGGGAAAATAACTAAACCTAAAAATGAGAGTTTCCATTTTTACTGGGTTACCTGTGAAGAGTGCTTTTGAAAACTGGAGGGTGTGGTGTTGATTTTAAATATACAACAAACAAGAATTGCACTATTTTTAGTACTATACAGTTTGAGTTCAGGACACCAATTATGCACCATTTGACCCAGGACTCCTGAGACACTAAAAGCAGTCAGGATGCTGAAAACTATGCCTCAACACAGTGGCTTGGCACTGCCTCTTAGCATATGTTGGGTTAACCCATCTCTAACTCATACAATGATAGGAAATGATAATCTTCAAGTATTTCTAGCTCCATCATAATTATGGGGAATTTGCAAGGCCACAGAAATATGAGCATGAATGATAACAAGAGTTGTGGGTTTTCAGAATTGTCTCCTGTTCTTTGGTTCACCTCAGGCCCGTAAACAGTACTCATTTGAAAGTTTTCTTTGTCCTCTTTTTAAAACTAAATGGAAATTATAATAAATTAAGGTCTCTGACTAGCTCCTTCATTTTTCTGAAATATCAGATAGTTAGAGATATCCATTCCCATCCAGATATTTTTACACATATATATGTGTGGCCCAATTAAAATGTCCATAGTGAGACAATCTTAGGATAAATTAACATTTTTCAATATTGATAGACCTAAAGTTTATAGATCAAGTAGACCTTTAATATACATTCTTTGCACAAATTACATGCAGATAGGTCTATCTCAACTAATGCAGAATTTTAAGATAGCTATTTTAAAATAAAATTCAATAAAATATATCTCCCAGTCGAATTGTGTAACCTAGTATTTATTATTGATTCTCCTACTTCACAAAGTTTGATTTTTCTTCAGTGTATTGTTAGGTGTTTAATGCTCAAATAATGACCCCAAAATACATTAAGCTGCATTAGCTTTGAAATTCATCTTTTATTCAAAGAAACCTGTGTTTATATATAATCATTTCTAAAATACCAACGTGCAATGAAATATGCTATACGGATTGCAAAGCTATTGCAGCCTATTATAACCTATCTATCTGCTAGGTTATAGAAATGAAAGTATAAATAAGTTTAACATCCTAAGCTTTTTTAATGAGAAAATTATCTTTTTATGATTCAAATGATATTTGATTATTGTGTAAACTCTTAGAGAGCAAGAATTTAATCTTATACTTCTTGTATCAGACTCATCTTACTATGATACAAGAGTTGGGAGTTCTCAGAATTGTCTTCTATTTCAAACGCCTTTCATGTATCTATGTAGATATGTGAAAAACTTCTGGAAGAATCAATAGGACTTAGTGACAAGTTGGCAACACAGCATAACTGAGAGAAAGGGAAAAAAAGAAAATGCCAAGGTATCAAGGCATTCCACAGAGCTTTTCCATTGTTCTCATTACAGACACGAATTGAAGAGTGATGTGATTGAATCAGGGAGCAAACTGGAGAGGAAGGCACACATAAAATGATTAGCACATTCCCACCAAGACAAGTAGCCCTGATTGCGTAAATATGCTGACCTCTATATTTAATTTAACCAACAAATAGAAATAGTTTAAATATAATATTCTGCTTTAGTCACTCTCTGAGCTAGGGAAGGCACAACCACGAAGGTCATGGTTGGGAAAAAACAGCTCTGGTTATTCTTTTTTTTTTTTTTTTACCCAAGGTTATTCTTGGCTCAAGGGGGCAAGCATTCTCTTTCTTTGGGTGGATGATGTGGCTGGCTGAAGAACGAGGCCAGCAGGGACAACCCTGAGTGGGACTAGGACATAAGTGTTGTCTCACATCTGATTTCTAACTCAGAGGTTAGAGGTTTCACTGCAGCTATATTTTCTAAATGCAAGGTAGTACTTCACTGGGTCATCAGATTCAAAGTTAAAATTTGTAGGATAGGAGGTGACAGAATCTTCGGTTGAGTATCCTGGTGTATATCTAGTGCCATTAGGGTTAGTTGCAGAAAAGGAAGGAAAATTTAATTTGGGCTATTACTGGGAGGAAGATGAAGAATCTCCTCCACCTTCTTTAAGGTCCTGATAGTAAATGCTTAGATTCACATTGCCTTTCAAAAAGTAGCAAAGCACGTTAACTTATAATTATATTTTTATATACAGAATCCTTGGTTTAACTTATTCTCATTCAATACTGAGCTCTTTAGAAAGATGGTGCTCCATAAAATCTCCTAAATGAGTAAATGAACACATTTTTCTTTTCTATAACTTTTACCTTACACATATAAATTAATCTCATTTTCATTAGTTTAATTAAATTGAATGATACCAACAATTATGATGCAAATTTAACTTCTTTAAATCAAATTCTAATTTAAATCAGGAGAGCTCATTATTTAAAAGAATCATCCAGTAGCAACATTCATTTTAAAGTAAGCTGAATCGGGCCGGAATCGGTGGCTCAGCCTGTAATCCCGCGCCTTTGGGAGGCTGAGGTGAGTGGATTGCCTGAGCTCGCGGGTTCGAGACCCGCCTGGGCAGCGAGACCTCATCTCTACAATAAATCAAAAAATCAGCCGGGCGTGGTAGCGCAAGCCTGTAATTCCGGCTACTTGGAAGGCTGAGGCGGAAGGATCGCTGGAGCCCAGCAGGTCGTGGCTGTGGTGGCCGGGAGCGGCCGCTGCACTCCAGTCTGGGCGACAGAGTGAGACTCCAACTCAAAAAAATAAAAAAAATAAATAAAGTAAGCTGAATCATCATTTAATTTGTTTTATCGAGAAAAAAAAAAGACAGTGCATGTTATGCCTTAGCCCAAGACCTGCCTTATGTTGGCTGGAGAACTCACACCTTTTTTGGGCTTCTGATTCATTCTCCTTAAAATTAAAAAATTGAACCTGAGAATTCCCTCATTCTCTCAGGGTTAAACAATTCTGTGAGTCATTGCTCTGGGTTTTATACACACAGACTTCAACATATTGTCAATGCTTTGAAGGTTGACAAACAGGATATACCAATTTATATCTTGTTCATTATCAGATGCATCTTTTTCTCTGACTTCATTTTGTGTATATCCAGTGTGCCCTCCTGTCTTTCTCATATTGTATGAGACCTGTTATCAATCAAGATGGTAATGCTAGTTTGAGTAAATATTTGTATGTATTTTATCTTATTTCAATCAACAAGAAATAAATATTGTTGTTGAATATATGTATGTGTGTAAACATACATATGTATATATATATTGCATATATATGTGTGTGTGTGTGTATAGATATATATATATATTTTTTTTTAGAGCAGTAGTGACTCCTCTGAAGAAAATGAAGATGGTGATAGTTCTGATGAAGAGGAGGAAGAAGAGGTAAGGAATTTTGCAGTCTTTTCATAACAAATCAGAGAACACACACAAAAATAAGAAGTTTGTCTATTGTCATCTTACTCGGCAAATAGCCATTGCTACCTCACCAACTGCTCACTGTCTTTTATTTTGAAATGTTATTTAAATTAGTAGAATTATAGTTATCTATTTAAGTAGAATGTTGCTTAAATTAGAATAAACAAAAATGACCTGTTTAAAACACTATTGCAGTTTGGGGTTAAAGCAACCAATAAGTGATACATTTCTTCCACTTAAAATGACCACCATTTTAAGTGGAAATAGTATAAAATCTGATAAAAAGCAACAGAAAGTACTATTTATATTTCAATGGATAGAACATGATAGAAGACAAGTAAATAATAATTCAAAACTCAGTGCAATATTTGTTTTAAGGACAGAACTTAAAATATTCAATTTACTAAGTGGGTAGTAGGTATAAGTTTATTTACTCTACAGTATTACTTTGATTCATCCACCTGTCATAATCCACAGAGTAGAGTTATTCTTTCTAATAGGAATTTCATGTCTTTGGGGTAATAACACAATTTTTGTTGTTACAGAAACGCAAATACTCCAGATGTGTCAATATCTTCCTATATAGTTCTATAACTGAGTGTGTAGTTCATGGCTAAGATTCATCTACACATCTTGGAAACTGTGCTACCATGCTTATAACTGACATTCTTGCCTAAGGAAACATGACAGGATGCATCTTCTGAATAGTCAATTATAGCTATCCACTGGTTTGGAAGCTTCTAAATTCAGGCATTCTTAGGTGCTATTTCTGAATGAAAAATGACAGTCAGAAATGGATCATGTATAAACATCAGCTGTCTTAAAAACAAAATGGTGTGGGAATTTGAGAGGTGGCAAATCATTAGTTTGGGTTTTTTTTTTTAGACCATAAAGGTAACATTTCCCATATTATAATTCATACTAATAACCTGAAGGAAGGCCTTACAAGAATATCAAGCCAATACCAGGAAAAATGCCACCTACTAAATCCCATGATAGTTTGCCTGGAGGCCCACATAGCAATCTTACCCAAGAACTAAGCTAGGGTTATTCATTTAACTACAGTTGTGTGCTGTATGGTGATTGTAAAATTGCCTTACCAGCTAGATTTCCCAGCGAGATTGCCTACTTTCTAGAAGCGGCACTTCATTTGTTATGGTGGTGGTTGTGAATGAAGGAAGATTAGGACTCCTTGAGAGCTCTGATGGAGTCACACACACACACATTCATTTATGGAGGCCATTTTCCCTAAAAGCAAAATTTCGGAGTCAAAGGTATATAGATGTGCAACCCCAGTAGACACAACCAACTTTCCAAAGTAGGTGTACTGTAAAACTCCCATCAAGATATGGGGGTTCCAGTTGGTCCACATTCTCACCAGCACTTGTTTCTTTCCATCATTTTAGCCATTCTAGTGAGTTAAAATAAATTTTAAAGCACAAATTAGTGCTGTTTTTCTATTCAATGAGATATTTGAAGCCTAATACCCATTAACAGATGGACCTACATTTCTTTTAACTCATTTGCAACAGAACAACCTTAAATAAAGTATCTGGGGAAAGCAAGGGTGTTGTAGGAGAAAACACAGAAGTTGGGCTATTAGGCCTTTAGTCATGACCCTGCTACCAATGAACTGCCATCTGTTTGACCTCATATGAGTCATTTATCCCATTGGCCCTCAGATTCTTCACCTGTGAAATGAGGGTATAGGATCCAACTAGCATATTCTCCTACTCTAATGATCTTTCCAAAGATGCTAAAGCTAATTTCTTCTTCTCCTGAAATATTGAGTTTTTTGGAATAAAGCATAAACATGAAAAAAAAGTGTGGTGTTTGTGGGATTTGACACATTTAGCTTGGAGACACTTTTGAGGTGATCTGGTAGTACCAAGACCCTTCAGTTGAAACAGTGAAATCTTCAAATTTGATGAAACAAGCATGTTCTGCTTTAGTCACTTTGTTTTAATAAGGCAGCTAAACCTAGGTTTTGTTTGTCTTGATGTCTCAAAGTTATGCTGACATCAAAATCTCCTTAAAAAATATTGAAGTGAATTTGATTTTCCAGGACTTGTTTAAAGCAAATGCATTCTATATATATGAAGTCCTAACTTTTAATATTAGCTATGAATTCCATTAAGAGCTTAGCTCAATCAACAAACAATTGCCTAACAACATGGAATAAAGGCAAAAGAATGAGACATTGAAGATGATACTAGGCATTCATTTGAAGAGTATTAATGTTTTTAAACATCATGCAATAACATAGTACTAAGAATTTCTTGGAGTGTCCAGTTTCTCCTTTCTATAGTTGTGCATCAAATGCTGGAAACACAAATATTATTGAATTGATAAAATAGAAAGCAGAAATATCTAAAGCACACTAGAGTGCGGTAAGCAGGATTAACTAACTTTGAGTTGAGCTCTTAGAACAGAGGAGTGCAAATGGCATATAGGGAGGCAGAACTAACAGCTCTGGGTGAAGAGTCAGCAGAGGAATACGAAGTTTTTCCAAATAACAAAACTCCAACAGATAGTTCCAACACATCTTGAGCTATCTTCCAGCGAAAATAATTTTTCTTGCTATGGATATTTTCACCAGGAGACATCAAATGAAGAAGAAAACAATGAAGAGTCTAATGAAGAGGAAGAATCTGAGGCTGAGAACAGCACACTTTCTGCTACAACACTGGGCTATGGAGAGGAGACCACACCTGGGATAGGGTATACAGGATTAGCTGCAATCCAACTCCCCAAGAAGGTAACAGTGGCATTATTCCTCCAAAATGGAATTGTTACCATTAATAATTATGATAATGTTATATCTGTTTTCATTTCTTTACCAAAACCTAAGATGATCCCGACACTGTACATATTGTATTTTATTACATCATCACTAATGCACTTGAAAAGCAAGAGCAGATTCAATTTTCCTACTTACAAATAAGAAAAGATCTTTCTCAAGCAAGTTCTCTTCACCTGTTATCACACTGACTTTTTACATTGTCACAGAAGACTAAGGGCAAGAATCTAAGGATGGCTAAGAGGTTCTGGGAGAGAACATTGCTTTCCAGAGAAGAGAATTCCAAGACAGGGAAAGTGAGTAGCGAAGCTATAGGAAGAATCTCCAGAAAAAGCTTATGAGGCATTTTTCCCCCATCAAAACCTATGACAAAGGGACCTATTCTGCAGTTTTAAAGTCCCCCACCAATCCTTTTGTAAATTAAATTGGCTTCAATTTAAAAATGACACCCAGACCAAGGCCGTCAGTATAGAATATTGTGCTAGATGAGGTGATGACCTTAAATTTAAAAATGTTCAGACCTAGACTTGAATTATCTGAAACTTTCCCTTCCAGGCCGGGGATATAAGAAACAAAGCTACAAAAAAGAAGGAAAGTGATGAGGAAGAAGAGGAAGAGGAAGAAAATGAAGAAAACGAAGCCGAAGTGGATGAGAATGAGCAAGGCATCAACGGCACCAGCACCAACAGCACAGAGGTGGAAAATGGCAATGGCAGCAGCGGCGGAGACAATGGAGAGGAAGAAGAGGAAGAAAGTGTCACTGAAGCCAATGCAGAAGGAACCACAGCGACCGGAGGGCAGGGCAAGGATGGCTCTAAGACAACAACCTCTCCCAATGGAGGTTTTGAGCCTACAACCCCACCGCAGGATGTCTACGGAACTACCTCCCCTCCACTTGGGAAGACCACCACTGATGGATACGAGGGGGAGTATGAAGAAACAGGCACCAATGAATACGACAATGGATATGAAGTCTATGAAAATGAGAATGGGGAACCTCGTGGGGACAATTACCGAGCCTATGAGGATGAGTACAGCTACTACAAAGGGCATGGCTATGACAGCTATGATGGCCGAGATGACTACTATCCCCAGTGAAGGCCCAGTCTGGGGTGAACACATCGTCCTGGCATTGCATATGGCTGCCGTTTTCAAAGTTCAACTCAGGAAGGTGCAATTTAACAAATGTGCATATTGTAGTGTAGAACGGTGCTACTGTTCCACAGTGATTTTCTGTAACTGCTTCTGAGAGTAATGGGTTTCTTGTTGCTTTTCCTTGGTATGTTATGGACAGATCATTGTAAATCAGGGCCATTTATCAAGCGTACACTAATCCATGAGATCAAATTCCATTGAATGTTTTGCGGTTGTAGTTCTATAAATAGTACTTTTTAAAGAACAAGTTTGCACTATTGCTAACTGCAAGAGCATACTCTGTACAAGAAGTGCTTCTAAGAAGAAATTCATTGGCATTAATGATGCTGTATATAACTAATTTTAGTTTCTTAATCGCACTACCTATCCAACACTGTATATTAATAGGTTTATCATCCTCATGTATTTTTATGTGACCTGTATGTATATTCTAATCTATGAATTTTATCACAAATAAAAACGCAATCCTTCAAATGTGTTAGACATAAGAAAAGTGAGAAATTCAGAATGGAAAAAAGTGAAACAAATGGGGGACAATGCAGCTAATGCAGAAAAGGTTATTTCTACCAGGGTTTAACACTCAGGGGAAAGCGTAAACATTTTCTTTTGGATAAATCAACAGAGCTAAGATTTTGACATGCTTGTGGGGGCAGGGTCAGCCATATACCTCAGGGGAATGATGGTTTTATTAGAGTTGCCAGATATAACAAATATAAATATAGGATGCCCAGTAAATCTCAGATAAACCGTGAAGAATTTTTAGTATACGTATGCCCCAGACCATACTGGGTCTTTGGGAAATATTTGGGAAATACTTATATAAATAATGATTCACTGTTTATCTGATATTCAACTTAGAGTTTCCTGCATTTTATGTGGCAACTCTGCTTGAACTTGATTTGACTTTAGGTAGAGTAGGAAATGAAATGGTGCAGAAGAACTCATGTGTGTGTACACATGTGTGCATGTACACACACACACACACACAAAGGCTTATATACAAGATCTTAATAGCAATTTACACCTATAATATAAACATGAAAGCAATTTTAAAAGGGAGTGGTGAAGGAAAGCAGATAGTGGGAAGAAGCAAGAAGAGCAAAAATTCCTTTATTTTTTATGTATTCACTAATGAGATGATGTACTGAACATCTACTACAGAGCCAGACAACAACTAGACATTGAACTAATGAAAATGAAGAGCCCTGTCCTCGTGGTGACTTTAGCCTGATAGTTACCAGTTTTTTTGTTTTTCAAGGTTAGAAAAACTGTATTGAAAAGATGAAAATGGGTCAGGCTCAGTGGCTCAGCCTGTAATCCCAGCACTTTGGGAGGCCGAGGTGAGTGGATTGCCTGAGCCCGCGGGTTTGAGACCCACCCGGGCAACTTGGTGAGACCTCGTCTCTACAATAAATCAAAAATTAGCCAGGCATGGTAGGGTGTGCCTGTAGTTCCGGCTACTTGGAAGGCTGAGGCGGAAGGATCGCCTGAGTCCAGCAGGTCGAGGCTGCAAAGACTGTGAGTGTGTCACTGCACTCCAGTCTGGGCAGCAGAGTGAGACTCCAACTCAAAAAAAAAAAGAAAAAGAAAGAAAAGACTAAAATGACAGTGTGGTAAATGGAATAGCTAGGCTGTATAAGGAAAGGACTTGGAAAATTCCCTTCTGAGGCTTTCCAGCACTTAGGACTCCATTTTATATGCATCTTTGTCTTTTTTCAGACCTCCAACTTCAGCTGGAATTAAGCAGAAAGCATGACTTACTTTGTTTCCCTCAAATCATTCTTGTGCTCCAAAGTGCTGGATCTTTAAGACATGCAGTTTGCTGGTAATAGTACCTGAGGGAAAAACAAAGCTGTGGATGAAAAGGTTTCTTAGACATGGTATCCTGTTACTTCTTGCTACCAGTTTTAAGGCATTACATGTATCATGTTACTTGTCCCTCAGTTTCTATTTTGAAAAAATGTCAAGCCTTCAGAAAAGGTGGTGGACCAGTATCTGAGCACCATTAGTGTACCTTTCGGCTAGATTCACCAGTGGTTAACATTTTTCCACATTTAGGTTATCTTTGTGTGTGTGTTTGTATCTCTCAACATATATATGGAGTCAGATAGGCTTGAATAATGGAGTTGTCGAGAGCAAATTAATTTCCCTGGTCTTTATTTCCTCTTCTGCATGAGAATAGTATTCAGTGGGCGGCCATCCAGAGTCTGACATGTAATGAGATGCTCGGAATCATCGTGTCTCTCCTCTCTTCTCTTTTTCCCTCCCTTTCCTTAATACTTAGGTGTATCTAGCAATAGAATTGCAATATTTCTGTGCCAAACCATTGATGAGGATGTTGAAGGCATCATGACATCATGCAGTTTCACCCCTAAGTACTTCAGCATTTAGTGTTAAGAACAAAGAATTCAAGCCGGGCTCGGTGGCTCAGCCTGTAATCCCTCGCCTTTGGGAGGCTGAGGTGAGTGGATTGCCTGAGCCCGCGGGTTCGAGACCCGCCTGGGCAGTGAGACCTCATCTCTACAAAAAATCAGTCGGGCGTGGTAGTGCATGCCTGTAATTCCAGCTACTTGGAAGGCTGAGGGGGAAGGATCGCTGGAGCCCAGCAGGTTGAGGCTGCGGTGGCCGGGAGCGGCCACTGCACTCCAGTCTGGGCAACAGAGTGAGACTCCAACTCAAAAAAAAAAAAAAAGAACAAAGAATTCTCCTACCTGGCCATAAGAAGTTTAACATAGATCCAATAATATTTTCTAACATACAGTCCACATGCAAAATTTTCCAATTACCCCAGTAATGCCTTTTATTATTAGCTCACGTAATTCTTACAAAACTCTATCAGGAAGGCATGATTGCCAGCCTCAATTTTATTGATGAGGGGACGGGGGCACAAAGAAACCACAAGCACCAGAGCTGGGGTGAGAACAAAGGCAGTCTGGCTTTGGCTTTGGGATCTGTGCTCTTTACCACATGCAGTATCTGTGTAGATCCATTAGTTATGGAAGGACAGGAAACTGCTAATGATGAGAAGGTTGCTGGAAAATGAACCTTGTCATAGATAGCAATTTTCTTAGAACCAGCCATGTTTCATGACTTGAACCTAAAGAATGCTTTCAAATCCAGGTTCCCCTCGTGCTGTTGGTGCATCTTTCAGCTAGGCATTGCACAGAGCACAAAATACGCTCTGGAGTCTTTTGGGCATGAATAACGGGGCTGCGATTCAGAGCCTGACACGTTGTGAGGGATTCAGAAGCATTTTATCTCTCCTCTCCTTCCCCTCCCCGCTCATCCTCCTCCCCTGCTTCCCTGTGCCCTCTAAACACTTCAATGTATCTAATCATGATAGAATTAACCAAGCATAAACAATCTTCCAGGAACTCATGGCACACTCTCCTCTTTTTCCAAGGCATCTTTGCAGAGCAAAAGGTACTGATGAGATTGAGACCTTGGGACCAGTGTGATCAGTACCGTTTATTAGGCCACATAGACAACTGTCACTATCCTACTGTCACTAACTCTCAATATACCACAGAATCATCGAGTCTTAGATTTGGAAAGAATCTTCAAGGATGATGACATTTATTTACTTATAAATCTGTCCCCAAGTGCAACGTGCTCTCACGCCATCCTTCCAAACATCTCAGAGTCCCCTGGAGGCTGGTGGCAGTTTTGAGGGGAACCATGGGAAAGCACGCATTTGGAGCAGTCCATGGCAGCCAGCCGAGGAAAGTTTTGTACCTCTGCAGACACCAGCACGAGTGACAGACAGTGAAGCCTGCAGACAACCAGTTCACCCAGGGCCAAAATGAAATAACAGGAAGTTCACAGGTGAAGACTAAGGGGTGGGCTGGTGATGACTGTGATTTAACACAGATCCTGGGCACCCCAGTAATGATTCTCTCAACCAAATCATGCAATATCTTTGGCACTGCAGCCCCTTCCCCCAGAATATTTTTCCTACTTAGGACCCCAGATGAGAGTTACAACCTCCTTCTGCTATCCTAAATGGCTAGTCTTCTTGACCTTCCCCACCAATGGTTCTATTTTCATCCATCCATCTCTCTCTCTCTCTCTCTCTATCTGTCTATCATCTATTATTTATTTATTTGTTTATTTTTGAGTCAGAGTCTCACTCTGTTGCCCATGCTGGAGTGAAGTGGCACGATCACAGCCACTGCATCCTCGACCTGCTGGACTCGTTTTCCTTCCACCTCAGTCTTCCAAGTAGCCAGAACTGCAGGTGCATGTCAGCCATCCACTAGTTTTTAAATTTATTATAGAGAAGAGGCCTCACCAGTTGCACAGACTGATCTCAAACCCCTGGGCTCAGGCAATCCTCTTGCCTCTGCCTCCCAAGGTGCTGGGATTATAGGCATAAACCCAACTCCCAGCTGGTTCTATTTTCTGCATTCCCTAGTAGTATTCCTTGATGGTTCATCTGGAAGAAACTTGATGAGAATTCAAATTACTAGAAGAGAAAGAGGAATACTTTTGTTCTGTCTAAGGATAGATAGTCCTTCCTCTGAGAATGAATCAAAGGACTCTTTAGGATTGAGAAAAGGTGAAAGTTGAAATAAGCTATGTATATGTTTGGGGAGAAATGAAGTTGGGTATTTCTATCCTACTACTCATAGAAAATTATTTTGCCTTTGTTCAGATGTGGAAGCTAGTCTGCAGCTGTGGCAGGTGCCTGATGCCCACTCATTTCCATTCTCCTTTCTCTCTCTCAGGTAATATAACTCTGGTAAGTTTAGCTGGGTGTGGGGTTTCCGCTTTCCTGGGAACTAGATGTGGCCATTTGATTTAAGGTCCGTGCATGTGTACATGTGATGTGAACAATTTATTGGTTGTCTCCTTCAAGAAAAGGATCATTCTTCCTTCCCTCACCCTAATTTCTCTCTCCTGCTAGCTGAAATTCAGTCATGGAGGTGAGCCATCCATGACAGTGTTTGAGAGGACACAATCCAGGGTGGCAGATGACAAATAGAGGACAGTCTGACTCGGAGGAGGGCCACACCTGCCCTGGATATCCAGCCTGTGAAAATAAACTTTTACTTCCTTTAAGCCATTTTTATTATGGGTCTCTGCATTATATAGCCTAACTGTATTCTAACTCAGACATTCTCTAAGTGCACTCCTCAGGTCAGCAGCATCAGTGTCCTTCCTCTGAGAATGAATGTGTTAGAAATGCAAATTTCAGAGCTCCAAGACCCACTGAATCAGACACTCTGGGAATAGACAACCAACTCCAATGTACTTGAAAGCTTGAGGACCGCTGGACTTGGTGGCCCAACCTGTAATCCCAGCGCTTTGAGAGGCCAAGGTCAGTGGATTGCCTGAGCCCGCAGATTCAAGGCCCGCCCGGGTCAATTGGCAAGACCTCATCTCTACAATAAATCAAAAATTAGCCGGGCATGGTAGTGCGTGCCTGTAGTCCCAGCTACGTGGAAGGCTGAGGCGGAAGTATTGCCGGAGCC